ATAGGAAAAAGCAATCAGGGCATTCCAAATTATATCTATGCATATACTTCTGTTTCAAATCTCAATTATTTATTCATCTAAAATGTGTTCTGCCTTAACTTTAGTCCTTAGTTCAGAGTTGTCTGCTAGTAAAATATAATTCTAGTTATGTGTGCTCCTTAACACCAGAGTGAGTTTTGGTTAAATACACAGTAGGAAACTAACGGGCATCCAGAACCTAGGCTCACCAAAATAGTTTTTAAAATGTTTTTCTTGGTGGTATGGATGTACTTTTATTATGTGCTTGTACACATACGGAGGCATTCATATATGTGTGGCGATCAGGAATTATTCCATGTGAAATACACACACACAAAGATATATAAATGAATGTTAAATAAAATTTCACTTTGGAACTGTGTAAGGAAATCTCGAGCTGTAGAGATATTTAAGAGAGAAAGAGTTGGGCAAAATAAGTGAGAGAGACAAGGAAATGCATGATAAATGTACATGTGCACACAGACATACATATAGCAGCATATAGAAAAAGATATGTAAAGCATATATATATATTCATTTGGACATATACAAATATTTTAAGTAGAGATAAGTATAGAGATATTTAAATTGTGTGTAAATGTATGTGTGTGTGAATGTGTATGTGTATGTGTGTGTATATGTGTGTGTATGTGTATATACGTGTGCGTGTGAGTGTATGCATGTGTGTCTGTGTGTATGCGTGTGTGCCTGTGTGTTTCTGTGTGTGTGTGAATATGTGTGTGGCCAAACTGTCCCTTTCCTTCAAGACCTTAGGAGCTGAGGCCTTTCCCTGCAGCTGCTGGGCTCCTGCTGCTGTCTGCCTGGTGGGAATTAGTCACACGTGGAGCTGAAAAAGTGAGCCAGACTCAAATATCCATAGAGCATTTGGAGGGATACCGCAAGACGGAGTATCCAGTGGAAACTCATTTTATGGCTGGGGGTTAGATACCTGGGTTGTCACCCCAAAGAGCTGCCCAAAGAAGGGTGTTATTTGTAGTTTCTTGTCAGAGGGGCAGGTGGACCCCAGAACGTTGTTGTTTTTACCAGTTGTGCCTAAGTACAGCACCCTTTATGCATCTTACAGTGTGAACCGATGTTTAACACGTGCACACCACCTAGAGGGAGGCCTCCAGAGTCCACAGCCTGTGCTCCTATTTGTTGGCTCTGTGACTCTGGCAAATTACTTAACCTATCTGTGCCTCAGCAACTTTACTTGCAATATGTAAAGAAGAACAGCACCTGTCTGTTCATATAAAGATAAAACCAACTGATATTTAAACACAAGGCCTGGCCCATTGTAAGCCCTCATGAGCTATTGTAGTATTATTTATTCCTGTGGGCAGAGGGGTGTGTTTTTGCTATCTTCAAGAGCAACTTTCTGGGGTGTGGTGGCTCACACCTGTAATTCTGGCACTTTGGGAGGCTGAGACAGAAGGATTGCTTGAGGCCAGGAGTTTGAGACTAGCCTGGACAAAATAGTGAGACCCCATCTCTATGAAAAATAAAATACTAGCTGGTCATGGTGGCATGCAGCTATAGTCTCAGCTACTCGGGAGGCTGCAGTAGGAGGATCCCTTGAATGCAGGAGATTGAAGCTACAGTGAGCCATGATCGTATCGCTGCACTCCAGCCTGGGTGACAGAGTGAGAACCTATCTGAAAAAAAAAAGAAAAGAAAAGAAAAAAAAAATAAGAGAGACTTCATAAAAAGTCATTTTCTTTCAATTAATGTTCCTCACCATCAAGGTACCTTATAGTTGGTGAAGCATATTCACATCTTGAAGCAGTGAGGCCCAATAGAAATAGAATGGGAGCTTCATGGACAACTTTACATTTTCTTATAGCCACATTAAAAAGGTGGAAAGAGACAGGTAAAATTAATTTTAATAAAATATTTTTATTTAGGTCAATTGTGATAATTAGACCTCCCTGAAGGTGTTCAAAACCTACAAATGTGTTTTGTTTCATGGCAAAAGAGCATTGAGGTTGCAGATGGAATTAAGTTTGCTAGCCAGCTGATTTGAAGAGGGGGATGTGATCTAGATAATCTGTAATCACAAAGGTCCTTAAAAGTAGAAGATGGATGACTGGGCATGATGGCTTATGCCTGTAATCCCAACACTTTGTGAAGCCAAGGCGGATGGATTACCTGAGGTCAGGAGTTCGAGACCAGCCTGGCCAAAATGGTGAAACCCCATCTCCACTAGAAATACAAAAATTAGCTGGGTGTGTTGGTGGGTGCCTGTAATCCCAGCTACTCAGGAGGCTGAGGCAGGAGAATTGCTTGAACCCAGGAGGCAGAGGTTGCAGTGAGCTGAGATCATGCCATGGCACACTAGCATGGGTGACAAAGCCAGACTTTGTCTCAAAACAAACAAACAAACAAACAAACGTAGAAGAGGGAGGCATAAGAGAAAGTGAGAGCGGTGCCATGGGAGAAGGAGTGAAGTGTCGTCTGTATTTACAGCCACTCCTCATTGCTTGCATTACTGTCTGAGCTCCACCTCCTGTCAGATCAGCAGTAGCATTCGATTCTCATAGGAGCACCACCCCTATTGTGAACTGAGCATGTGAGGGATCTAGGTTGCATGCTCCTTATGAGAATCTAATGCCTGATGATCTGCACCATCTTCCATCATCCCCATATGGGGCCACCTAGTCACAGAAGAACAAGTTCAGGGCTCCACTGATTCTACATTATGGTGAGTTGTAGAATTATTTCATTATACGATTACAGTGTAGCAATCATAGCAATAAAGTGTACAATAAATGTAGTGTTTTTGAATCATCCTGAAACCATCCCCAACTCTGACTCGTGGAAACATTGTCTTCCACAAAACCAGTCCCTAGTGCTAAAAAGGTTGGGGACCACCATTCTAGAGCCTCCAGAAAAGAATGTAGTCCTGATGCCATCTCAATTTTATCCCAGTAAAGCCTGCATTGAACGTCTCACCTACAAAACTGTGAGATAACAACTTGGAGTCGTTTCAAGCCACCTACTTTGAAGTAATTTGTTATAGCTGCAATAGCAGACTAATCTACTGGTATACCAAACATGATCATTTCAACCTGCCATGGATAGAATGAATTGTTAATCAGATACGTATTTTTTTTTCTGTGTTGTCCTTGAGATCCTTGAGATCCAGTGTGTGTTTTACGTTGATAGTACATTTTCTTTCATCCTAGCCACATGTCGAGTGTTCAGCAGCCACATGGGGCTGGAAGCTACGGTTTTGGAGGGCACAGCCTTAGATAAATCCCACGTCTTTAAGTGGTGATGTTAGCAGTAGGAAAATACAATTAGGGCATTCCAAATTATATGCATACCTATAGCTTTGTCTTCAATCCCAATTACTTATTTGTTTAAAATACGCTGTTCTGCCTGAACTTTAGCACTCCGGTCAGAGCTGTCTGCCACTTGCAGTTGACAAAGTTGTTCACTGTACCAGGAAAGTGACCACAGGGTGAGGCGGGGCTGGGAAGAGCAGTCTTAGAAGCAGCCTATGCCTCAAGCACCAAAACCTGCATCCTGTGGACTCTGCCTACCTCCCTTGGAAGCATAATGTTGTTGTATTTATTCCAAGTCTATACAACAGAAGGAATAAGTCATTATCTTTGCATAGACTTTGAGTCCCTTCAGCCCTAGTCTATTCTCCTCGGGCCCTCCCGTAGGTGATTAGAATCACGAATTAGGTTGACACCTTCCAGCCCATCTGTGCCACTTTCCCGTACTTAGGTATATACCCATATATGTTTGTGTTTAATTCACATAAACAGCGTCATGGCATTTTATGTTGCAATCTACCCTTTTCCTTCAACTTTTTTTTTTTTTTTTTTATTGGTGATCTATGCAGCTCTATTTTAAAAAGAACAAGCACAGTTATTCTGTAGTGGGCTAGATTGTAACGACTTCGGGGCATTTAGGTACATGTGGATCTTGTAGTATCTATGATAACTACTGAACTCTGATCTTTTAAAGCAAAAAGTGGCCACAGACAATATGTGAATAAATGAATGGGAATCTTCTAATAAAACTTTATTAACAAACACAGGAGGCAGACAAGACTTGGCCTGCTGGCCACAGGTGGCTGATTCTTACTCTAGTTCATCATTTTAGCTGCTACTTAGTCTTTTACTCTGAATATAGCAAGACTTGTTTTACCTACTGTACTAGTAACAGTAAATAGCTTGCCATCATTTTCTTGTATTACAAGCACCACTATAACACACTTCATGGACTGGTTTTCCTGTGCACCCACCTGCAAAAGAGTTTCTTTAAGTTAAATTCCCACAAAAAAATTGCTGGGTTAGAATGTCAACATATGTTCAGTTCTATACCTAGGGCCTCACTGCTCTCTGGAATGGTTGTATCAATTTACCACTCTGCTCTCAGGCAGGAAAGTGCCTATTTTCCCTTCAGTCTCATCGCTGCTGCATGAGGGACTCCTGGGCCTGGTCACATGAGGCAAGAGAAGTGGCCCGTCAGTCCCGCCCCATGCACCCAGCTACCTTCTCGGTGCCGGAACTTTTTGCTTAGGGGGAAGTCAATTCCGTAGGTCATGATTAAGGAAGGGACCAGGATCGGCTGCCTGTGTTAAGCCGCGACACTTATTCAAAGGATAAACTTTCATTTCATCACATCTTGTTAAGCTTAACTCACAGAACATAGTGCACTTTATCTTAAGAAAAAAAAAATCCATGAACCACTTGGCTTTGATACTGATGACCCCGGGAATGATTTTGCAATGCAGGAAATCAATTTCCTGGCCTTATAACATCATTTCCAGAGGTGTGATCACCAGAAAAGATGGTGCTCCCATAAAGATCCTTGTGCTTCCGCAGGTGGATAACGATCCAGAAGTCAAAGCTTCTTCACTTTAAATAGATGCCCTGGGTGGCTGGTATCTGCTCCTGCTCCTGACCAACCAGAACTGGTGCAGTGAGAGGTCTTATCCCACTGAGAATATCTCGTTTTGTTTATAGGGAGAGCAAAGAACTGTGGGCATCAGAATCGGGAAGACCTACCGCCTTTCAGAAAAGACAAGGTATTTGGAGACTGGAGTTATTATTGTTACCCAAGTGCTAAAAATTTTCTCTCTCTGCTCCTAGCTGTTCTTTCAGTTAACAATATTTATTGAATACCTATTACGTGCCTGACACTATTACAGGTACTCATAATACATCACTGAATACAACAGAGTCCTGTCTTCTTGGAGCATACATTCTAGAGCATATACAATAAACAATAAGCAGAATAGGCAAATTAACATTGGCCCATCTGTTTTTATTGTGCTTCTTCTATGATATGTCCCAGGAGCTCAGGTTTTCACCACATGGTCCCTGACCTCAAGAAAGAGGCACACATTCCAAGAGTTGAGACAGATTGGTTAACAACAATAACAAAAGCAAAGCAATGTGATCATTAGATCATTATTCAGGATAAATTCTTATTGTGCATCAGATGTCACAAAGTATTTATTATTCCCAATGGCGTCACTAAGGGACTTGTGAAAGGTTCTCCTCTAGGAAGTTGGGGAAGGCCCCTTGCTCTTTCAGGCCATTAGATCAGTGTCTTGGAAAACAAGATAGAGGGAAATGGAGGGGAGCATTTAGGGCAGAGAAACCTCAGATGGAAACAGGTAGAGGCCAGGAAGGCAGGACAGAAGTCAAGTTATCAGGGGCAGAAGAAGGTGAGGACTTGGGTGTGTGTTTGAAAGCCATCTGAAGTCATATGGCGAGCAACGGTAAATGACGTCTAATCTAAAGTGCTTCCAAAACAAAGGGGCACTAATTTAAGAGAATGATGTGGGCCCCAAGGCCCTAGAAGCCTGCCTGGCTCACAGTGTGCCTTCAATAGAAATTTATCATACGAACACGTGAACGAGCGCCCAGGCTGCAGAAAGATATGTCCTCAAACGCAAGTCACAATTACTCCATTTTCCGATGAGATGGTCACTTTCCTACAACGAAGCTGTGGTTGGAAAGCCTGGCAGAGAAACAAATTAGATTTACGGCTATGCCTTTGTTTCAAAAATGCTGTCATCTTGAAGGCAGAGTTCCAGGATCCCTTATGTAATGTTCTGCTCCCTGTTGGAAGGGGTTATCTAAGGCAAGCAAGAGGGCAGAGTACAAAGGATTCCAGGACAAATATTCCTTGTCCAAGTAACGTAGTCTCAGGGAGAGCATGGGATCATGTCTAGATGAGGCCAGATTCAATGTTCAGGCCACTGTGAGGACAGGGCTGATGGAGAGAGTGCAGGTGATTGGTTCACTAGCTCTGCTTCCAGACAGGGCTGGTCCTTCTCTTTGGAATGATCTCCAAGAACCATCGTTGAAAACTGCTTTCTGGACTTCTCTTCCCAGGTGGGAGAACAGAGGCAAGGGGTGTTCCCTCAGCAAACCTGGCATCTTTACCTGTGAAGTGAGGACACCACGGCCAGGAGGACAAAATGAGACAACACATGGCAAGTGCTGAGTAAGGGCCCTGGCCCTTATGATAGAGACAGGAGGCAGCAAGCAGCCCCCAACAAAACCCTGCCTTCAAGCCTAAAACAGCCTGAAGGCTAAAAAACCAGACTTCGGGTCTCAAATAAAGCCCATACTTTCTTGATTCTCTCTGAACAATGCCCACCTGCGCACTGAGAGGATGAGATGGAACCTTGGAAAGTTCAAGCCATTTGTAGTGACGGGAGTCTGACCTCTCCGGTTTCTGGGTGGTGACCTGAGATTCAATCTGTGAGATTGGGGCCTGTTAACATTAACCCACCTTGCTTTGCTTAGAGTTCACTTCCTTTTCTCCCAATAAACTCCATTATCCCCAGCCCTTCAAAGTGTCTGTGTGGCTTATTTTTCCTGGCCATGTGACGAGAACCTGGTTTTTTCTACAACACTTAGGTGATTCTCTTCTTTATTCCCTGCTTGGTCATTTGGGCCAATTCAGTGTCTTGGGTACAGGGTCATCCATCTGGGAGACTGGATGCCATGAAGTTGAGTCAGAGAAAGATTATGTGTGGACTTGCTATTGTTGTATTGCAAGCAAATACACCACGTCAGTGGTACACAACAGTAAACATTTCTGTCATTCCTGTGGCTGTGGGCTGGCTGGGGCTTAGTGTATCTACGTCCAGGCTCAGCTGGGTAGCTCTGCTGTCAGTGTTTGGTGCTCTCTTCCTGGGCCCTGCAGGCAAGCTCAGGCATGTTCTTTTCATGGTGATGGCAGAAGTACAAGAAATGAGCAGAAACATGCAAGTTCTCTTAAGGCTGAAGTTCAGAATTGGGAATACCATCACTTTCCTCTCATGCTATTGGCCAAAGCCAGTCTCCTGGTCAAACACAAGAGTGAAGAAATTTGCTGTGCCCTTTAATGGGAAGAACCGCAGACTCATAAGGCAAAGTGCTAAACACAGGGCTAAGCCTGAGAATTGGGGCCAGTAACTCCATCCACCAAAGGTGGTATTTTTGTAATCTCTTTATTAAATGAATTATGTCAACACACTTACTAGACTAAGGGAGGGAAAATTACCTAACAGTCAACAACCATATTAGGCACATATTTAGTCATTTACTCAACAAATATTTATTAGATACTCACTCTGAGCCAGGCACTGTTTTAGGCCCATGCTACCATAGCAAACAAGAAAGTCAAAGCCCTTGCTCTAGAAGACAATAAATAAGTTAACAAAAAAAGTTTATTCTTTGATAATTACAAAATAAAACAAGAAGTCAAGTGATAGCAACTGCCTGATGTGTGGAGTACCTTTAAATAGTGAGAACGTGTCTGTTCAACAAACTATGGGTGATATTTATCAAGTGCCAATCAGACATCACTGTCTGATGATCGTAGAGTTTCTTATTCTCCCAAAACTGCAATGGCATTTTATTCTCAACTTAAATGACTGTACTTCCACTCCTTCCTCTACAAGTAAGATGAAGGAAAGGGAATTAATTTTACACATAGTCTTTCTCTTTTGTAGCATGGTTCACCAGATTTTAGAAGGCTTATAGTCTAGAATGTACATTTTTTAGTAGGAATCTGGAGCGCCATGTTATATTTTTTCCTAAACATCTTTTTTATGAACAGCAATCATGGTAGGAAACTAGCCTTTGTACAGCAATATCTTATGTCACGTGGTATCATCAACTTTATGCAACATCCGACCACAGTAAACAGCTGAACTCCAATGGCAGGATTAGTATGATTCTAACCAGAGTTCCTGATCCATGAAACCATCCAGTGAGATAATAACACTAAGAAACAAGTTATCTAAAAGACGGCCTAAATGAAGTTGCTCCGTTGGATTATTCAAATGTTTAACAATATTCAAGTATTTGTTGGCTTGACAAATCTATTTATATATTTGATATTATAAAATATCTATCTGAATACTGGCACTGTGTGGACCTAATCATGGCTTCATGACTTTGGGTCCACTGGGACTTTGAGTTGCTTCCATTCAAGGCATGGGTCTGGTGATGGTGCCTCGGATGCCTCTCCGTTGGGTTCTGTAAGGTCCCTAGAGCGGCTGTTAACAGTGGAGAGAGGGTTCACAGCAAGGAAGCAAAGAGGAAGTGAGGACCAGGAATGGACTGGGCACTGGACATGGTTAAATTCTGCATTTTTTCCATGACAGGATAATCGTGAAGGTTCTAATCCATCCCTGATCAGGAACTCTAGCTCCCTGCAATGACACTGGCTCTTCCCAGGGCCCTAGAGCTCTGGTACTCCTGAACATCCTTGGTGAGGTCCAGCTGCTTGGATACTCAGTCATGTTACAATTATATTGTCTCAAAGCCATGAAGAGGCTCTGAACTCAAGAGAATGTCTTCCACTTGAAGTATTTATTTATTCTTCTTCCTTTCTTTTCTAATCACCGTTGAAGTGGCATTCCTCCCACCTCACCCCTTCCACATATAGCATCCCCAACTCTGAATAGTCAGCGAAAAGGAAAAACGAGCTTTCTGGGATGGGCTGACAAAAACCAGAAGTACCTTCCACATAAACATGCACACGCACACACACACACACACGCTCACATATACAAATATTATTACATGAGTTTGGTTCCTGCCTATTGGAATGGAAAGACATAGTAATATGGAACCATCCATCCCATTTTGAGACCTAGGACATTCTAGGCAAAACCCAACGGTATGAATTTTTTTTCTTTTCTTTTTTCTTTTTTTATTTTATTAGGCAGAATTCTTCATCTGTAGAACTGTCTAGCGAGAAATTTACAGGGAGAATTGACTCTTTGTCTCTACAAAGCCATGAAGGAAAGAGTTTAAGTGATAATTGTATGCACAGTTCAAAATATTTTAAATGAACTTGTTCTCACAAAGAAATAAGTTATGGAGTTAACTTTTGTGTGTGTGTGAATAATTAAACTATTGTCACCACTTTAAATTATCATCCATTGTTAGCTTACATCATTAAATCTTACCTCTTTGCTAAAGAATAATGAAAAAATGCACTTAATTAATAGTTATTGCAAGCTCCAGGCCATTGATAACGCCAGTCTCAGCCTGAATTTAACGAATGTATTTTTGTTCTTCCCTTCCTGTTGTTGTGCTAGGAAGAGAAGCCCTATGTTGAATCAGGGACGAAACTGATTCTCCTGCATCGAGACAGACTCTCCCTGAAAACAGAGTTTTTCCTGAACCATCCAATCGCATCAAGATTTTGTTTCTGTGCAAAGGGGGACACTGGGATCCAGGCTTGAGCCTTTGTTCTCCTTATGGAATTTATGAAACAGCCTCAGCTGCTGTCATATAGGAGAAGAAGCTCCTCCCCCAACCATCCTATGTGTACAACGTTTAAGCAATTTCTTTGATAATTTTGGGGGTTGAGGACTGGCTGGCTGGGTCAGAAGAAAGGGGATCAGGCCAGGTCTCTCTACTGATCCCTGGAAGAAGATGGCTCATGTTAATTTCCTTGTTGTTTCTATTAAGGAGGTGATATATATTTTTTTCTGGATATTGTTAAAGAAGCTTGCCAGGCCTGTAAAGAATGTACAGCGTTCTTCAGATGAAATAAGGCCAATCAGTGGAATAATGAGGAAAGTAATATCTCCCTAGAGAGGCTGATGGGGTTTTCATCAAATCAGCCAACCTTTTCCCGTCACTTACACTGCTATGCACTCCAGGCAGGCCCCGTCCGCCTGCCTCCTCTCCTTTCTCCTCTTCGTCAGAACTTCCCTGTGGTTATTACTGATAATGGAATACTCAGGGACCCAGGAAATGTATGTGCACTGGATACCTCCTCTTTCTGAAGAATAACTATTACCTCTTATGTCCTTTATGACTCAACTGTCCCTTACATCCCAGAAGATCTTCGGAAGCCAAGAAGAATGGAAGAGTTGCAGAGATATGGAAAGTCTGCTCCTTGGTGGCCTCTGTTGCCTTGAACTGAAGCTGAGATGGGCAGGCTCCTTATGTTCAGCTTAGATTCTGAGGTTGAGTAGGGACAAGATACAAGGGTCCATCTATGGAGGGACAGACCACACCATGGTGGCCCAAGGGGACTTCGGTGGTACCGGGGTGCCCGACACCCATTCCTTGCTTCAGAACTACAAAAAAAAAGGCCGGGCGCGGTGGCTCAAGCCTGTAATCCCAGCACTGTGGGAGGCCGAGATGGGCGGATCACGAGGTCAGGAGATCGAGACCATCCTGGCTAACACGGTGAAACCCCGTCTCTACTAAAAAATACAAAAAAAAACTAGCCGGGCGCGGTGGCGGGCGCCTGTAGTCCCAGCTACTCCGGAGGCTGAGGCAGGAGAATGGCGTGAACTCGGGAGGCGGAGCTTGCAGTGAGCTGAGATCCGGCCACTGCACTCCAGCCTGGGCGGCAGAGCGAGACTCCGTCTCAAAAAAAAAAAAAAAAAAAAGAACTACAAAAAAAGATACCTGGAAACCAAGTGGCTAAATAGCCCTTTTACCAAACAGCAGGGCCCAATGGGAGAGAGGATTGAAGAGCTGGCCTGAGATATGTGCTGCAAAACAATCCGATTGTATCTGCCCCGTGAGCTGTGGGCCATCCTGCCCGTAGCGGGGCAACCATCTCCCTTGCAAGGGACTCCACTGGAGCTTCTCAAAACTGTCTTCCCTGTGGGCAGGGTATCCCCAAAGGCCAAATGAGAAAAGCAGACGCATGTCATGCGATGTGGCCAGCAGACACGTGGATGCACCAGGATATGGTACCCTGGCAGTCTTCTGATGCACTGGTTGCCCATTGGTTGTGAACCTCATGAAGACTTTGCCTAACTGTGCTAGAAGATGAGCAGGCACTCAGAGGTGTCCATCCCCCTTGCAGGCCATCAGCATCGCTTTGCCCACCGCAAGCTGGAAGAAGCAAGATGGAAAGAGCTCGGGACTGGTTCCCAGCACACGAACCTCACAGGCTGACTTCAGAGTATGGAGGAGGCAATCAGCGGATTCTCCTCTCAGCAACCTGGGCATTTTCTCCACTGAGGCCGAGGGCCAGGCTCACAAAAGAAGGGGGAAAAAAAATCACATTTTGCATGCAAAAGTTTTCCAAATTAAACGAGATCCATTCACAGAAGTCCTCCCACCGTGCTCGGCGAATGATTCAAAGCCTCCACATGATTTCATCTGTGCAGACTCTAATCCACTTACTTAATGAAATACATAATTAACATATTATAATTGCAGTAAAGATGGTTTTGACAGAAATCATTTCCCGTATCTAATACTGTGGTAATTTAATCTGTTCCCCACTCCCTAACATGACCCTCTATGATTAAGTTTCATAAGAATTTTTTTGATTGATTGACTCATCTGACGGGCTGGGCCTTGCTGAAGCAGTGTCTG